TATATTCTCCTTGTATTTTCTGTTCACTGTTTCGAGGCCGAAGCTGTTAAACACTCTTTTTTTTAACCTCTTCTTCGCTTATACTTTTATAAATCACTGAAATTGCATTTTGCTCGTAAACAATGTCTGATGTGTAACTTAATTAACATTTGCCTCTTAAAAACTCTTTTGTCGAAAATGCGTTAAAATAGTGTTTAACAATTTTTTAATTCTTTTTTTTTCTTTTGCTTTGTTAAAGTTCCATCTTTTGACATGGGAGGAAAGTATTTCAAGAGATACACTCGGAAAAATGATGAATTTGACTCAGAAAACTGTTAAATTGTTTATTTGATTCACATCAATTTTATTTGGTTCAAAACAATTTTATTTGACTCAAATCAATTTTATTTGGTTTAAATAAATATTTATTTGGTTCAAATAAATATTTATTTGTTTCAAACAAGTGTTATTTGACTCAAATCAATTTTATTTGGTTGAAATAAACTTTGTTTGGTTCAAATGAATTTTATTTGGTTTAAATAAACTTTGTTTGGTTCAAATAAATATTTATTTGGTTCAAAACAATTTTATTTGACTCAAATCAATTTTATTTGGTTTAAATAAATATTTATTTGTTTCAAATAAATGTTATTTGTTTTAAATAAATGTTATTTGTTTCAAATAAATGTTATTTGTCTCAAATAAACATTTTTTTGACTCAAATCAATTTTATTTTGTTAAAAAAAACTGTGTTTTCCTCAAAAAAATTTTATTTGCCTCAAATCAATTTTATTTGGTTCCAAAAAAATATTTATTTGGTTCAAATAAACGTTAATTGACTCAAATCAATTTTATTTGGTTGAAATGAACACTGTTTGATTCAAATATAATTATTATTATTATTATCATTTTTGTTACTATTATTATTATTGTTACATAATTATTATCCAACTTTCCTTGAGTATTACGTAAACAAAGTTTTCACTACCGTCGATAAGTAACACGCTAATTCCGATTAGTCATCAAATTTTTAATCATCCAATATATACGTGTGTCTAGAAAATTACTATTTTCACGCTCCTTCAGCAGCAGTAGACTAATAGGTCTACAATTTATTAAAATGATATAGTCTAACAATGGGGGAAAAAAAGGGAATTTTTTTTTCTTTTCTCACAGTAGGATTACTCACTTTTGAATTTTTACATTCTCATCGCTAATGAGAGTGGTGTCATATAGACATTTTTTTTCTTCTTCTTTTTCTTTTTCTCTAACTAAAAAAGAAACGTTCATTTAAATTTACTGTTATCTTTTTAACTGCTGTGTTAAATGATGTGACAATCTGTTTAAAGACTATATAATACCATTATTCAATGTTTGGTTATACAGGATAATTACGAATACTATTAATTGTAATTATAAGCATTAATTTGTATTGTATATGCGAGGACTAAAGTGTTGTTTATTTTACAACTATTATACCAGTATTTATTTATGGCAAACATTAATTAAAATTGTTTTCATATTACCGTAAGTTGACTGCACTGTATATGTACTGTGAAAATATTTATTTGATACAATGTTGGGTTTAATAAATGTTAATTGTACTTTTCTTTACTGGGTACAAGAAGCTTGACTTTATTTTTGTTTCGGTAATTTATTTATTTATTTATTATTATTATTTATTTATTTATTATTAATTATTTATTTAAATATATTATTTATTTATTTAATTTTATTAGTCTAATTAGAGATTTTTCATTGATTCAAATTTCAAAAAATTTAATTCGTTTTAATAGAAATTATTTGGTTCAAATCAAAAGTATTTGGTTCAGATTAAATAATTTGGTTCAACTAGAAATAACGTTTTTTGTCAAATAAAAAGTATTTGATTTCAAAAAAAGTATTTGTTTCAAATAAAAAAATTTAGTTCGATTAAAAATTACTTTCTTGAAAATAAAAATTATTAGCTTCGAGTAAAAATTATTTGGCCCAAATAAAAAGTACTATTTGAACGGAATCATTTTCCAGAGTTGCTAAAAAAATCCAGACTCTGATAGAAGCTAATTTACTCTCTCGTAAAAAATATCAAATTGCCATATAGTGCAAATTAGAAGAAAAAGAGAAGAAAATTACCATGTTTGGAATCTGTTGGGCAATTTAAAAACTATTTGTTTCTTTAGCTAATTTTGTATTCTATCGGTTATGTGTAATTTTACCTTTTTTGCATAGATAATTTATTTTTTCTTTTTTGCTTATTACTAATTGAAATTAGTTCATATATTGCAACAGAATTAGCATTCCATCATCCTTATTAGCATAAATATACGAAAAAAATTCAATTTTTTAAAATTATTCTCCTCTTTAAAAATTCTTCCCCTCTTGGAAAAATATTGAGACAATAAATATCGAGAAGGAAAATTATTCTATAGAAAATAAATACAAAAAAAATTTTTTAATTAAAAACAAAAAAAATGCATTCATACAGAATATTATAGAAAAAAATATTCTAAATTAAAATAATTTTATAATAAAATTTTTAATAAATTTTGAAGGAAAATATTTTTCTGATGTTCAAGAAATTACTGATTTGTTTAAACAAATCAGTAATTTCTTGAACATCAGAAAAATATTTTCTTATTTCATTTCCTAAAAATCAGGAGGATATCGCATGACCGCGCGTAATAATTATCAAAAAATTCAACGTAACACACTATAATTAAAAAGAAATAAAATGAAGATATATCATTTATAAAATTAAAATTGCTGAAGCAATGAACAAGATTCAAAGTCTTTGCAAACAAAAGTACCAAGAGAATCATCGACTCTCGTATATATAGAAAAACCGGAAATACCGAAGGCCAACAGTGCTCCAAACCGTATCTTCACCAAAGACTTTTGTTCTTTATAATAACTATATAGAAGTAAATCTCAAAAAAACAACACTCTCACGTTTCAGCATCATTAGTGGTATCATTTGAAGAAATTATTTGATTATATCTTTTCCAATTTTTTTTCTCTTGCCTCCATCTCACGTATATATATATATATATATATAAAGGGGAATTAGATAAGTACTATTGGATCTACCGTAGCACCTGAGCTCATTGCTAAAACATCCCGGAAATTGCAAGGATAGATCGTTTAACATTTAGAGGTCGATTCCAAAGTTAAAAAAAATAAAAATTGTTCAATTTAATTTTCTACTTAATTTTATGATTTTGTTTTTCAACATAAGCTAATTAATTATATCACCCCTTCCGTTGAGAAAATTTATTTTAGTATCAATTATTATTATAGTGTAATAATAATTTATACCTATTAAAAAATAAAAAAAATAAATTTTTAAATAAATAAATATTTTTCACTTTATTTATCTAAATTCAAATTTTTTAAACAATTAAAATTGATTAGAATTTTTTTTATAGATGTTATACAAAATTCAAATCTTTGCGAAAATTTCAATTTGAAATCCTTCTGAAATTTAATTATTTCCAAAAATTTTCTACTACAATTCTTCTAATATTTATTTCTTTTTATTTGATTTATTCAAAATTAAATTTAATAAATTAAACTTAAATTTAATGAATATTTTTGTATTTCAAATAAAATTGAATAAAATTCATAATATTCAATAATTATTTTTCTAAAATTTTAAACTCAAATTCTTCTTCAAATTAATTGCTTTTGAGAATTTTCATCAAGTTCTTTGAGACCTGAATTATTCAAAAAAGGCAAATAAAATTTTATTTGAGCCAAATAAATATTGATTTGAACCAAAATAAAATTAATTTGAACCATATAAAATTGATTTGAGGTAAATAAAGTTTATTTTACCCAAATAAATATTGATTTGAGGCTCAAAAAAGTCTATTTAAGCCAAATAAATATTGATTTAAGCAAATTAAATTGATTTAAACCAAATAAATATTTATTTAAATTAAATAACATTTATTTGAACCAATCAAAGTTTCTTTGAAACAAATAAAATTGTTTTGAACGAAATAAAATTGATCTAAGTCAAATAAAATTTATTTGAGTCAAATAACGTTTATTTGTATCAAATAAATATTTATTCAAAGAAAACAAAGTTTATTTGAACCAAATAAAATTTATTTGAACCAAACAAAATTTATTCAAATTAAATAAAATTTATTTAAACCAAATAAAATTGTTTTGAACCAAATAAAATTAATTTGAGTCAAATAACGTTTATTTGAGGCAAAGAAAATTTATTTGAACCAATTATATATTGATTTGAACCAAATAAAATTGATTTGAATCAAATAAGGTTTATTTCAGGCAAACAAAATTTATTTGAACCAAACAAAATTGATTTGACGCAAATAAAATTGATTTGAGGCAAAAAAAAGTTTATTTAAGCCAAATAAAATTGATTTGAGGCAAATAAAGTTTATTTAAAACAAATAAAATGTATTTGGTTCAAATCTATATTTATTTGGCGTAAATAAAATTTTTTTTTAATAATTCAAGTCTCAAAAAACTTGATGAAAAATATCAAAAATAATTATTTAATATTTTATCCTTTTTTTAATTATAAATTTTCTTTAAATTAATTATTATTTTAATTATTTTTCAGAACGTTTCTTATAGGAATACAATATTTTGTTTTATTTAATTTTTATTAATAAATGAATGAAGATAAGTAAATGAATAATAATTAATAATTAACAATTAATAAAATTTAAATCATAAAATTAATCATCTTTTTGTAAATGAAAAATTGGAAATGAATTTTTTTTTATTTATTTTCTTGAGGTGAAAAAAAAAATGCAAGAAATGTGACTGGAAAATTTTCTTTTTTTTCCCCCGGAATGGAATAAAGATTTCCTATCGAGTGAATAATATTGATCGTGGGATCCGTTAGAAAACTGGCATTGAGATATATTAATGTTGCTCTTTACCGGAATTATTATTCGTCGTGAATGTTTCTGCTTGACCACGTGAAAATATTTGCATGAAAACGTGCGCGACGTCTAATGTCACGGTCTTTCTGTTTGCAGAGCATCTCTCGCCATGCGGTTGACGTAGCAAGCCGCAAGGACCAAGGGGGACCAACGAAAGAGGACAAACTATGAAGGTAGAGAAGAACATTTATTTTTAATCAACCTTTTATTCTTTTTCTTTCTTTTCAATTTTTCCTTTCAATTTTTCTTTTTAATTTTTTTCAATCTTTCTTTTTTAATTTTTTTAATCTTTCTTTCAATCTTTCTTTGTAATTTTTTCTAATTTTTCTTTTGCAATCTTTTCTTGTCTTCAACTTTAACTCTTTTTTATTTTCATTTTTTGCATTTAAATTTTTTTCAGATTTTAAAAATTTTTCTTGGACTGAATTTTGAAATGAAATTTAGTACAAAAATTGTCATCAAATTTTCGTAAAAGTTGCAAATTTTTTATTAAAATTCAGAAAGATTTAATTTAATTGCATGAAAAATTATTTAGTTTAAATGAAAGGAAATTAGTTGACTAAAAATATTTTTTGTTTAAATTAAAATTATTTTGTTGGAATAAAAAGTATTTGTTTGAAATAAAAATTAGTTCAAATAAAAAATTGTATTTGATGGAAATAAAAAATTTGGTTCGACTAAAAATAATTTGATTCCAATAAAGAATATTTCCCTCAAATAAAATTATTATTATTTACTCCGAGTAAAAATTATTTGGTTCGAATAAAAAATATTTGATTACAAAAAATGTTTGAATACAAAAATATTTGAATACAAAGATATTTGAATACAAAAATTTTTGTTCGACTAAAAATAATTTGGTTTGAATAAAAATTGTTTTATTCGCCCCAAAACATTATTTACTTTACTTCAAAGATCGAAAGAATTTTTGTGAGAGAAGCGACCCCCCACCACTTCCTAAGTGGTGGGGGGTCGCTTCTCTCACAAAAATTCTTTCGATCTTCGAAGTAAGGTGAAAAAAATCCGACATTTAAAATAACGAATGACTAACGAAAAAAGAAATAACAATTGACGGAATCAGGAATGTCGTGATCTAAATAAAAAATCAAATTGCAAATAGACAATGTGCGGTATTTTCTATTTTTCTTTTTTTTACAACCAAGTGAATAAAATTGCATCCGTTAAATGCGTAACGATGAAGTAGGCAAAGATGGTTTTGGTCAGCCGACCGGTTACTGGTAGCGGTATAATTGGCTTGTTGAATGAGTGTAATCAAGAGGAGGTGATGTTCCGAAACCAGTAGAGACTCCAGACCGTGACACCGCCCTCTGATTACATTCTCCATTTATAATGGAAATTGAATTGTATTTCTGGTAACGTGCGAATTACTCCATTCTTCATTGCATCATTAACGTATCCAACGTACCTAATCACATCAAACTGTAAATCCTCCCTCTAAAAATATATACACGCCATTCTAAATTTCTATTCTGCAATAATATTATAAATTCTCGCCCCGCTCTTTCGACATTTATTCAAAACAATTCTTTATGCACTAAACATAAATTATATACAAAACTTGGATGAAAATCAAAAACTCAAGTGTCGAAAATTCTACAAGTTCTCAAGAATTCATTCTAAAAATGCTCAAAAATACAAAATTCTACAAATGCCGAAGAATACAAAATTACAAATGCTTAAGAATATAATATTCTAGAGTCGTTTGAGAAAAAAAATTTTTGCAATTTGCCAATAGAGGAAAAATCTTCCACAATCACAAAAAAAGTGGAAAAAATAGACAAAGAAGGAAAGAAACAATGAATAACTATTAAAAGAATAAATATTTAATAAATATATTTTGCACTGAGGAATCTATTCTACAGCAAAAAATAAAACGGAAGTGGCCTACTTTTTTTTACATGAATGTATGGTTTCATGGAGTGAAAAATTGTGTGTAAAGAAACGGTACTGGTTTTGTGGGAGAGAGAGAGAGATGGACTTATATAGCAGTAAAAGAATATTATGGTGATGATATACCGCTTAATATTATTACGTAAAATCAGAACCATTTCGGAGGCCATGTTTCTTTGATAACGGTTCGCAAAGTTCACCGAAGCATGATACTTCTCTTCTTGGACCAAAGAACAAAACTAGAAGTGGAAACTTTACCTCTCATCTTCAAATTATTTTTTTTATCGATATTATGGCGATACTTTACTCTGACTTTAACTATTTACATGCAAATCAAGAAATTTCCCTTGCTTATTATTAGCCATGATGAAAAGGCGGTTTGAAACTCAAATAAGAAAAGCGCACTTCGAAGAAAAGTACTCAAAAAAATGTATTCTAATTTACTTACGATCGAATAACTATTATAACTAAAAAAGGAAATTCTTTTCGTAAATGATATAATATATATAATCACAATTTGATATCTGCAGAAAAATTGTGATTACATAGAAAGATTAATTGTGCAAAAGTTTAATAATTTTCAAAGTTATCAAATAAAGAACAGTATAGGGAATCAAAAGTGCCTGAGTGAAGAATCACCTTAAGACTTCTTATTTTAATTCCAGAAGTCTTAAAATAAGACATTCTTTCTACAGTACAGCAAAATATTGGTATCAATTACAAAAATAAAGCATCGTAAAAAAAGAGAATTTTATTTCCAATTGTTTTGCATGACAGGAATTGTAACTCAACGATTCATAAACTTCCACGTCTGATTGTATCTTTAATTGCCTCGTCTGAATATTTATGAGGATCTACATCTTCCTTTATAGTATATTATACGCACGCCGCTGGACTTACAACTGTTAATCATTTCGGTAAATAATTATTATAAAAGAAAAAGAGATTTGTTAAGTAAGAGGAAATTGATGAAGTAAAGAGAGAGAGAGAGACAGAAGGTCGGCAGTATCAAAAAAAAAAATTATGTCTATAATTGTACAAGGTAATACTTAGAGACACGTTTCCCTTTCTAAATCCACATCTAGGCAGGAATAATTTTTTTTTCTCTTTCAAATCCTATATAGACCCAGAGAGGCAGTATATCCTTTTTTAAAAAAAAAATCGGCAATTCGTCCTTGCATCGTATTTGCTTTCGCACGTGTGCAGCAATCGGTTCCACAGCCAATAAAGAGTGAAAGTCGAGCACGAGTTGGAATTCTATCTCAATGGCATTGAGGTGTCGTTGTCTTTTAGTCGATTCGATTTTTACCCCCACCCCTAGCTAAATAAACGAAATATTACCTGTGGCATTAATTTATCATTCGGTGGAAAAACATCATTACGTTAATATACGTAAATATTTATACATTTTTTTTAGAAATAATTTACAAGAATTTATTAGTCGAAGTAATTCCATATGAAGAATGGAACATAATCATATCACCCAGAGAAAATTATTATTTAAACCAAATATATTTTATTTGAGTTAAGTAAACGTATATTTGACTCAGAACCAACTAGACTTTTTATTTGTTTGAAATAAAAACTTTATTCGACATAAATAAAACATATATTTTAGCCAAATAAAATTTTATTTTTGATTCAAATAAAATTTATTTGAATAAAATTTATTTCAATCAAATAAAATTTATTTAAACCAAATAAAATTTATTCGAATCAAATAAAAAGTCCTGTTGGTTTTGAGACAAATATACCATTTCTCTGGGGTACGAAAAAGGGACATTTTTAAAAAGAAATAATTTACAAGAATTTATTAATCGAATTAAATTTCATATGGAGAATGGAAAATAATAATCATATACGCAAAAAAAGGGATAAAGATTCAAAAAATGTATTTTCAAAACCGGAAATACAACTGTTATTTGTAATCTAGAAACAACTTGTTCTCCTGTTAATAAAATTTATATAATTTACAAACTAGAAATGTAAATCGATCACGGGGGAAAAAAATAAAACAACTTTTACTATTCTGGAAACTAAAATATCAAACTGAAATTTCAGAACTTTAACGATTTCCGGCTATGTTGGTTTTTAGTTTTTTTACCGTATTGCAAAGAATATTTTAGCAAAATATTTGACAAAATATTTTATAAAATTATAAAGTTCAATTACTAAAAAATTCAATTATTCTCAAAAATTTGAATCAAAAAGTTTTAAAAATCCAATTATTTTCAAGAATATCAAAACATTCTGAAAAAATTCAATTATTGTAAAGAATATCAAAAAATTCTGAAAAAAATCAATTTATTGTAAAGAATATCAATAAAATACTTTAGTAATTCAATTATTGTCATAAATTTTAATCACATTTTTAAAAGAAAAAAATTTTTATAAAGAATTTTAATAAAATGCTTTAAAAAATTCAATTACTCACAAAGAATTCAATTATTGTAAAGAATATCAACAAATTCTTTAAAAATTCAATTATTTTCAAAAATATCAATAAAATATTTTGGAAATTCAATTATTTTCAAGAATATCAATTAAATTCTTTACTAATTAAATTATTTTCATAAATTTTAATCAAATTCTTAAAAGAAACAAGTTTTTATAAATTAAGAATTTTAATAAAATGCTTTTAAAAATTCAATTACTCACAGAAAAATTAAAAAATACTTAAAACATTAACTGCTTACAGCAATTTTTATAAAATTCTTTAAGAAATTCAATTATTTTCAAAAATATCAATAAAATATTTTAAAAATTCAATTATTTTCAAGAATATCATTAAAATTCTTTAATAATTAAATTATTTTGATAAATTTTAATCACATTCTTAAAAGAAAAACAACTTTTTTAAAAGAATTTTAATAAAATACTTTTAAAAATTCAATTTCTCTCAAAAAATTCAAAAAATACTTTAAAACATAAATTGTTTACAACACTATTTATAAAATTCTGGAAAAATTCAATTATTAAAAGGAATTTAAAAAAATTTTGTTAAATATTCAATTACATTCAAGAGTATCAATTAAATTTTTTTATACTTCAATTACTTCCAGGAACTTTAATAAAATTCTTTAAAGTAACAATTGTTTTCAAGAATCGCAATGAAATTATTAAACAATTCAATTATTTTCTCAAGAATATTAATGAAATTCTTTGACAATTTAATTATTTTCAATAATTTTAATAAAATCATTTTCAAGAACTGCAATAAAATTAGCAAACAATTCAATTATTTGTATAAAAATTTTATTGAAATTATTATAAGAATTTCAATAAAATTCTTTAAAAATTCAATAATATTCGAGAATTTCAATAAAATTTCATAACAATTCAATTATTCTCAAGAATTTCAATAAAATTCATAAAAAAATATAATGCGTTTTGAGTATTTTAATAAAATGTACAAAAAAAATTCAATTCTTTTGAAGAAAAGGATTGCAATTTTTAATAAATTAAATTATTTCTAATAGTACAATTTTAAATAATTTCAAATATTTCAAAAACTTTTAATTACTTGTGTTTATAAAATTTTAATTATCTTTAAATGAACAAAACTAAAATATTTTTGAACAAAATTTAAATTCAATTATTTTTGAAAATTGAAATTTTTAAAAATATTTTTCGATAACCAAAAAAATTTAGAATTTATTATTCAGATAGTAATTCTAGAGATTTGATATTTTTGCCAGTACTTTTGATAAAATTTTCTCACATTTTTCAATTTCTCTTGCGACCAATTTTATTTTTCTTAATTTTTTTTTATTTTCCTGACCTGTGGCAACCTCGAAGAAGTAAAAGTTAAAAATTCCTCAGTATAATTAGAAAAAATAAATAACAGAACAAATGGTAAAATAAAATCCGGAAATAGAGTTAAATTTGCTATCTCAGAAAGTAGTTCAGTTTACAAATAGAAAAAGCACCTTTGTATTTCCCCGATACGAAAAAGTATGAAAAAAGTTTTTGACATTTAGAATAAAAATATTTTTTTCCTCTCCCTCGTGTATCAAAAATGCGAATCGCTACCAAAAACGCCAAAACAACAGAAACGAAACAAAAACAAAAAAAAAACAAAAAGTGAAAGTGCATAAAACCTGATTTGTTTTCCGAGTCTTTAAATATGCAAATTAAAAATACACCTGCATGTCAAGAGAAAAAAAAATAAATGCACTCTTACAGACTATAAAAGTACATTACGTAATTTGTGGTGGGTTTTTTGACTCCTTACTTTTTATTTATTTATTTTTTTTCTTTCTTTCTTTTTTATTCGGACCAAGGTTAGCATCTTTTCGTTTACTTCGCTTTAACCGCAGATTATAGTTTTACTCTTCGCTTTCTCTTTCGAACACTTTCGAGAGAGTATAATCAGTATAGTATGCAAAAGATGCTCTCCCAGACAGAATGTTTTGCACGAAAAATTAAACTTTCATGATACAATGGAGCGATCTCGTTGAAATGCTCTTAACGAACACAATGGGAAAGACAAAAAAAAGTCCAATAAAAATCGTTGGAGAAATCATCAGAATGGAAGACTGCTTTTCAATTGTTCCTGCAATTTGTGAATAAATTTCATTTTTCTAATTTTTATGTGAAATATAGTTTTTAATTGCGAATAGAGAATCAATTTTGTCATCTATTTAATATTTGCAAACTACTCTTTGCAAATTTACCGGCCCTCTAGTTAAGACTTTTTATCTTGACACTTATTTTCGTTTCAGTTGATAAAATCTCTTTTTTCAGATGTTGGAGTCATTAGCGGTGTTCCTGCTCTGGGTATTAGTCCCCGGGGTTTGGACCCAAAGTAACTATGATACTCACGGGAATAGTATTGAATATGATCCTGAATCGGGATTGCCGCCGAGCACAATTCTCGATGGCAAGGTCACACAATTGGATGAACTTAAGGCAGACATTGTCCTTAATCGCACCAAGGCATTTCTCAACTGTTCCCAAGGTAGCATGGACGTTGAATTAACATTCAGAGAACCGTTCTATGGAATCGTCTACGCGGATGTTGATCGCAACAGCGCTTGTATGGTTAAGGGACGTGGATTGAATGTTGCTCACTTGGAATTACCGTTGAAAGGTATATAAATAGCGATTGATATCGGAACAATTTACATTACTTCTTTTTCTCTAATTAGTTTCGCAAGTTACAATTCTCAAATATAATTGATTCCTAGGATGTGGTACGAAGCAAGATCCTACGCGAGTTTTCACCAACAACATTGTCGTTCGATTTCATCCCAGTCTCGAGATGGATGGAGACGAGATCATTACGATAGTTTGCCGATATCCACCACCAAAGACTGCGGTTGTACCGGAACCCATTTTGTAAGTAATACTCGAGCTCATTAAAATTGATTATTGCCTGAAAGGATGAAGAAGAAGGGGAAAAATATTGTTTCTTTTTTTACAGTTTACCACCGGCAGTTCCATCAGGACCAAGTTTATCGGGACTACATATCTTGTTGATCATCTGCTCCCTGCTGTTCCTCGCATTGACGCTACTTGGAATGGGTTGTTCATACATGTGTCTTAAGCGAAGACCGATTCGAGTCGTGCATCGTCAGACAACAAGCTACACGGGTTCGGAGATCACAAAGATCTCTGGATCATCGTTAGGAAATATCTCCATGTTCGGAGATTTAAAGATTCCAAGGGCTCATGCCCCGTTGCAGATTGCTGCATCAATCTCCGGAAGTGAAGTCAACTTGGTCACGGATCATTCCGACACATTGCCCAGCGATTATCCAAGCGAGAGTCACTCCGAGGTTTGTTCACGAATTACTTACAGGACCGATAATCGACTCCCAGACAGAAAAACCCAGAAGCTACTTTGGCGCTTCTATCCCCACTCCTGCGCTTGGGTTATGAATTCTAAGAAGCGGAGTCTGAGCGAAGGAGTGGGGGCAATGAGTGCGAGTGAGAAGCCTCGGAGCTTCTCACTCGCACTCATTGTCCCCACTCCTTCGCTGAGACTCCGACATCATGAAAACATTTATATTCCTCTAGCTTTTATCCACCGAATAGATATCTATTCAGAATTATTGAATTTTAAGTCCTAAATCGCCATTGTAACTTTAGATGACATTACTGTTTCGTTTCAGATCGACGAGGCGAGATCCCTCCCCGTTTCATCAGCTGGATCCTACGAGAAGGCGTTCATCCACCATCAACAACACACCGACGTCCGCGCATCAAGTTCCCTCTATTCGGAAACAATAAACGAAATCGAAACTTCAGCAATCACTAGTGCTTCCCGAATGCTACCACGACCACTCCCAATGGAACCGAAATTCGACGTCCAAATGCGAGTAAAGAAAGCACCACCACCACCGCCAAGTCCCCTACCATCCGAATCGGACGCCAGTATCGCTCTCGAACGAAATCTCACCACAATTCTAGAACGCGAGGAAATCTCCCGCTCCATGGATCGTCCCCCAGCAATGACGACCTTCTCCTACGTTCCCGAACTTCATGGACCACCCAGTTCCATATCCAGACAGCAAACACCACCCGTCTACTCCCGAATTCTCCGCAAACAAGCCGAACGTGAAACAATTCTAGAATCCATCACATCACCATCACCACCACTAGCAACAATCCACCGACCAAGATCCCTAGCATCTCTAAACACCGAGATGACCGACACTCGCTCCCTAACGGAAGTAACCGACGCCTCCCACGCAAAATACAGAGTAGCCAGCATACTCGCACCCACACCGCCTCCACCACCTCCCGTCGTTCCATCAACCCACACGCATACAGCCCAATACCGACAATATATCCGCGAAGAAGTGGAACCACTCGTCCAACCCGTCGTCTCACCCAGAAGACCCGAAATCACAACCCACGAGGTTGACGACGTCTTCCTACGAACCGTCACCGAGAAAAAGACAATCGAAGACGTTGAGCGTCATCGTCGTCAAGTCACCGAATACCACGCGAAACCCGATCCCAAATGGGACGTGACCATCCGAAACTATCCCACTGAGGAACTTCCACCACCACCTCCCGATTGGGAGAACTTCTCCGACGTGAGTTCCGCCTCAAACTTAACCATCACCAACGAGCCTACCCTAAGATTCGACGAGCCCGACACAAACATAGAACCAACTTACACCACAAGGGCCGAAATACCCTGCAGACCCTCCCATCGTCTAGACCCCGAGTCCGGAGCCGAACCACCCGACAACTGGTTCGCCCTATCAAGAGTCCTTGAATCGCAATACGCGACCGAGTTCACCGAGGACGAGCGCAAAAAATGGAGGGAAATCATCACAACAGAGAGTACTTTACGTACCCTACTCACCGAGGCGGTAGTCAAGGAGGACTACGAACTAATCCGCAAAGACGCGAGGTACACCACCCTCTTCCCACCAGCCAAATGGGACGTGATTATCCGAATTCTAAGTCCTCCAAACTCAGCCTCTGCCTCATCGCACAAAAGCGGTCAGAGATACAAACGAGGTAAATCCTCCGAATGGGACAACAGGTCCAGGAGATCATCACTCCCTACTCTCTACGAGTACGAGAGCGATGGTGGCAGTTCGATAAGAACCTTCGGACAGGATCATTTACGACCTGGTGGAGCTCATGCCGGCTCGGGTGTTGGGGCACGAATCAGAAGACTAAGTTCAACGACTCGTGGCGGTAGTGAAGCGGATCTCAGATCAATGTCTGAAATGACAGTCAGGGACTTTGCCCGGGTCGAGAGGGACGATCTCACCAGTTTGAGTTCGTACGAGGGCGAATCTCTCGTCAGATCACTCAGTCAACCGAGTCTTGCGAGATCTGGCTCGGAATTCACGGAACATTGGGGTGTGCCCTCAAGGGGTCTGTCCAATTGGGGCTTTGAAGACGACGCCTGCAGCTCCGCCGAGACGACACCCAGACCCATTAGACGCAACGATCGCATGGAAATTGTTGCCTCCTTCGATGGTGTCACTCGTCAAACGCCATCCGGAGGTGTCTCGAGCACTTTCGCCAGGTCCACTCGGTACACCGAGAGGGAGAGTATTCGAGTCGATAATCAACGGGGTCCCAACTGGTTCCACGATGATTCCGAACCGGAAATGCAAATCTGAAACTCTCATCCGAAAACAGAATCCTAATCTGGAATTAAAGAAAGGAATCCTTGGGTCAAACCTGGCGCTGAGGACACTGGTTCGGGTCCTAGGAACGAATTCGCATTTGCTGTTAGATCGAAAAACTTTTTTTATACAGGACCCCAATGGGAATTTAGGAGCCAAATTTGAATATTGAATTGAATCTTCTAGCAAAAAATTCGAAGGACCGAAACCAGGCGCCAGGTCCACAAAAAAACAACACTTTCGAAATAAAAGTAAATTTCAACTCTTGATTCAACGAAACGAAAAAAATATTTTCTATGAAAATTTCTATTCAAGCAAAAATACTTTTCGTATTGAGAATGTAAAAAGTGATTGTGCGGCCCTGGCTAGGGATTTAAAAATGACTTGCCGATGTGAATATTTGAAATAAGTTCACAACACTGCCAACAGAGGACTGCACTAAGCATTTGAATTTGAAACCACGATTGTATTCTCCAACATAGAGAATCAAAAAGTCTGAAAACAATTTCTGCCCCCCAAAAAAAAATGAGAAATTTCAATTGCTTTTTTTCTATCCTCTAATTTATACAACAATCCGAAGATAAAAGAGAGACATTCAAAGACTTTTCAATGTCATAACTATATATTCTTTCTTTATTTCTCTCAATATTCTTCTCTATTCGGTATATACAGTCCATATAAAAATAGTTTCACAATCAAATCTAGGACTCGAAACTGTCGATAAAAATCTAGATTATTACAATTATTATTATTTTTTAATAACCGAATAAAAAAAAAAAGAAAAGCAAACTCAACTTTTATTTTTCATCATCTTTGAATTTTATCACTCGCACTCAATTTGGTTTCGCTCTAAATTTCCCTATTATAATAGTCGACGAGTGGAGTTGTAAAGTTCAACGACTTAATAATTTTTATCGATCGTTCAGTTTAGTTTCTTGGCTGAGAAAAATGAGTATAATAGTCGATTCACATAAATTTTTCTCGATAAAAAGTTTTCAATAAAAAAAAGAGAGAAAAATGAATTACGATCAGATTTAAAAAATTTGTTCGAAAAAGATTTGTTGTAGTATTAACCAAAGTGACGCAAATTTTATTCCCGATAAATCAAAAATTTTTTTTTTGTAGAAATGAGTTTGCATTTATATAAAATAACAAATTTTTTTTATTTATTATACAATATAGCTTTAATTGAAATAAATTTCGCTGTGCTTTCTAAAGATAATTAGAATAACATGATGTAATAACATGAGTTAAAATAACATCGTATTAATAATATTTTTGTAAATTTGAAGAATTTTCGAAATTTCTTTTTCTTTCACCAAACACGATGATCTTTCCTAAAGTTTTTTTTTGGAAAAATGTTTTTCGGTGAAGAAATATTTATTTTATGGCAATATTTAATCATAAGAAACCGATTCAGTCAATTTTTTTTTAATTTTGATAAAGAACATTAGTTACATTTTTTCCGTTCTACTATACCGACTGAACACAGAGTGGAAACTCGGGTACAAAATTTAATTCTGCTAAACTGCTAAAAAAAGACACTAATAAAATTTGTTATTTACTTTTTAATTCAGTTTTTCGATTAAAAAATATTCATTCAATAATTTTGATAAATAAAATTATAAACAAAAAAAGTAGTTACATTTTTTTAGTCTACTATACCGACTAAACACAGAGTGGAAATGCGAATAAAAAATTCTAAAAGATACTCCAAAAAAAATTTGATATTCACTTATTTCCATTCGATTTATATTAAAACTATTGATTCAATAATTTTCTTTAATGAAAATTATGAAATAAAAAGTAAAGTAAAATTTTTTTTCAATCCTACATTACCAACTGAACACAGAGTGGAAACTCGCATAAAAAATAAAATTCTTTATTTTTGAATTTTTTTTAAATAATTTTTTAATAATTCTATTGATTTCAAAAATAAAAAAACATTCCAAACTTCGTAAAATTTAAATTATTTTCCAAAAATATGAAAAATGAAGCTTTGGGAGAAGATTAAATAATTTCAATGATCATCGTGCGAGCGCTAGTGATAATAGAAATCGTAGGTGACAAAAAAAAGGTGCTGGGTCAACGCTTCATGATTAATAGTTTCATAAGAAAAAACGTGAATATTTTTTATATGAATTACAAACATAAGTTGTATATGAACAATAAATTACTAAAAATAATTAAAAAAAAACAAGTGCATATATTATAAATAAAGTGCGAATCAAGTGATTAGATTTCGATCATCTGCTCAAAACGCGGCGTTTGAAAAAAATATTTTTTTTTTAATTCTAATTTTAACTGTTTTTTAATTTTAATTCATTATCATTATTTTATTTTTAATTTCAATTCTTTTTGATTATAATTTTTTTAATTCTTTTTTTATTTCAATTTTAATTTTTTTTTTATTATAACTTTTTTAATTCTTTTTTATTTCAATTTTAATTCTTTTTGATTATAATTTTTTTAATTCTTTTTTATTTCAATTTTAATTCTTTTTGATTATAATTTTTTTAATTCTTTTTTTTTATTTCAATTTTAATCACTCTTATTAAACGAGTATTTTTTAGTTTTTCGAAACGATTACAATTTTCCAAATCCAATGCCTATTGACTGATAATTAAATATTTATTTTATCTTTATTAATTTTAGTAAAATAAAAAGTATGATAAAACTTTTTCCCTCGATAAAAAAAATATAGTCGATTTAGAAAAAAAGGCTCGTTTGCCACGCATCGTTAAATTATTCAAAAACACTATAAAAAAATTGATTATTAAAAACTTTTTTTTTATTTCTATTAGCAATTTTAATAATTAACGAGACACTTTGCCCAGTCAATTGCGTAATTGAGGGTAAAATTAATTGTCTTCGTCTCGAGAAATTTTCTCTGCGCCTTAAATTCTTTATATATATATATAGAAAAAGTTTAGTTAAGTTGAGTCCGATTCCTTTTCGTTTTCGATTTACTTTTCTCTTTTGTAATTGAAAGGACCTAAGAAAACGTAATCAATTTTTGGGCGCGTGTGTGTTTGTATGTATGTATGAGTGTGTAGATATTTTTTTGATTGAAAATGGCCAAAAAAAAAGAAGAGTTAGTGAAAACAAAAGAAAAGTGAATTGGACATTTTAGTTAAAAGGTGCTATTCTGTGTAAATATTGAAAAGAAACATTGTGTGCAAAAGGCAAACTGGAACTAAGATAAGAATTCAATCATTTTTTTTTTCTCTCGACTTTATCACTTTTGTAACTAAATAATTATCGACGCCGTCCATTACAAATATGAATTCATTTGTAGTAAATAAATATAACGATGCTTTTACTATTTGACTGTATTTTTTATTTACATTCTATTTTTAAAAAAATAATTTTTTTTTAGTATTTAATAAATATTTATTAAAAATCTATTTAATTCGATTTCTGTTTAAAATTTTTGCATTTTTTTTTATTCGCAAAAATTTTTAATTCGATTTCTAACTAAAATTTAAAAAGAAATATCTCATTCGATTTATATTTAAAATTAAATAAAAAGTATTTACTTCGATTTGTGCTTAACATTTTAAAAAGTATTGAAAATTAAAAAAAAGGATTTAATTCGAATTATATTTGAAATTGAAGAAAAAATTAGATTTATATTTAGAAATAAAAAAAAGTATTCAATTCGAGTTATATTTAAAATTAAAAAAAAATCAATCTCGTGTTATCGGAAACAATTTTTGTTGTTTAATTAAATTATACTCTTATTATTAATACAAAGAGAAGAAGTTATTTCAGATCGATTATATTCTTGAGGCAAATACTTGAACCTTTTTAGAATTACGTATAAAATATTCTGTCGTTTAATATTGGAAACATTTTTTTTTTAACCGCCACTATTTTCTTTACATAATTTTATATGTATTGTTCTCTAAAAAAAACCTGTTATTGGAATTAAAAATAGATAAACCTCAAGTAAAATGTAAATTTTAATAAAAACTTTTTCGATCTTTTTTTTAAATAATTAATCGTAAAAAAAACAATAATTATTTATTTAAAGAATCTAGGAAAAAATTTTATTTTAAATTTATTCAAAGTAGAAAATTTAATAGCGGTTTACGAAAGCAAATATTATTTTAACATTATAGCTTTATAAAAGCAAAACACTTTCACTTGACTTATAACATTTAATATCCAAATATAAATTATTACGCATATTAATATTCATCAAAGAAAAAATAATAATAGTAATAATCTTGTTTGCATACTTATTAATAATAATTAGCATTAATCATTAACGTATTTAGTAATTAATTATTATAATTAGTGACCTTCCCTTTGTTTTATAATGCGCGCAAATAATGATAAAATTATTTGATCAACAGGCATTTTAATTAACTTTCTATTCAAAAGGAGAGAGAGAAAGATGAAGCTAATTATATAATTTTTCAGATTAAAAAAAAAATAAATAAATAAAGTCAAATTCTTTTAATTAACAATCATTTGACACTAGCCGACAAATTAGTTGGTTAGTTATTTATGAAATAAGTACAATTTTTGAGCAAGTTTTATTTATTTTGCGAGTAAAGTATGAAAAAAGAATTTTTTTAATTATCGAAATTAAATTTGGTGATTACTAGTAATCGCCAAATAAAACCAAATAAAAGCTTTTATTTGGTTTGATGTTTATTTCATCGAATTTATTTTGAGGGCTTTTTATGTTCAACTTTTTAATATTTTTATTTTTTGTCAATATTTTATTTATTATTGTTCATTTATTTTTAATATTTACTGTTTTTGTTTGTGTTATTTATTTATTTATTCTATATACCGGCACTAAAATTTATAAAAATTGATTAATAATATTTATTTATAACAATACAATAATTATATTTACAGCTCAATTTAATATTTTAATTTCCTATTTCAATTTCAAATTTCAATTTTCAATTTCATTTTTTAATTTCAATTTTCAATATCAATTTTCAATTTCAATTTTAATTTTTTATATCAATCTTCAATTTTAATTTTGTATTTCAATTTCAATTTTAATTTTATATTTCAATTTTTATTTCCTTTTTCAATTTTAATTTCCAATTTCAATTTCAATCTAAATTTCAAATTCCATTTTCTATTTCAAATTCAATTTCAATTTTAATTTATTATTTTAATTTCCTATTTCAATTTTCAATTTTCAATCCCAATTTCAATTTTCTGTTTCAATTTCAATTTTAATTTTCTGTATCAATTTAAATTTCAAACAAATGATGAAATAACTATTTTCCTAAATTTTTATTTTTTCATACTTTAGCTTCTTTAAAAAAACAAATCGACAAACAAAACGAAATAAAAATGGCACAAGTCTAAAATTTTTCTCTTGAGAATATAAAATAATTTAAACATTAAATTTCTCTTTGAAAAAGGATGAACTTTTGAAATAATTAAATTTACATTTAAACTTGAAAAAAAACCATTTTTTTATTATTAGGAAACATATAAATATTTTTTCAATAAATATGTTTCCGTTTGATATAGAAGATTGTAATTTCTATCAAAATGCAACTTTCAATTGTTTAATATTTCTTATTAAAAATTCTTTTTCAATACACAAAATTGTATTTAAAGTTTATTTTTCTCGTTCAGTAAAAAAATTCAATTGAGTTTGATTAATTATTCTTTTGACACTACGATTCATTCTTAATTGTCCAAATACTTGTCGCGTTTAAAAAATTTTAAATTGAAATTGAAATGAAAATTAAAATAAAAATTGAAATATGAAATTGAAATTGAAATTAAAATTAAAATTGAAATTGAAATTGAAATTGAAATTGAAATTGAAATTGAAATTGAAATTGAAATTGAAATAAAAACCGAAAATAAAATGAAAATTGAAAAAAAAGAATTGAAATTACAATAAAAATTAAAATACAAATGAAAATTGAAAATGAAAATTGAAATAGAAAATCGTAATTGAAAATGAAATTAAAATGTAAAATGAGATTTAAAATTACAATCAAATTGATATTTAAATGAAAATGGAATTCAATTTCAATTTAAATTTGAATTTCAACCTAAATTTCAATTTCAATTTTAATTTTCCATACCAATTTCGATTTATTATTTTAATTTCCTATTTCTATTTCAATTTTCAATCTAAATTTCAATTTTTTGAAATTACAATTTAAATGAAAATGAAAATTACAATCAAAATTAAAATTGAAATTACATTAAAAATTAAAAAGAAATTGAGTTTGAAATTAAAATTTAAAATGAAATAAAAATTAAAATCAAAATTGATATTAAAATGAAAATCGAATTCAATTTTAATTTCTTATTTCAATTTCAATTTTAACCTAAATTTCAATTTCAATTTTCAATTTCAATTTTAATTTTCTATATCAATTTCCATTTATTATTTTAATTTCATATTTCTATTGCAATTTTCAATCTCAATTTTAATTTTTTGAAATTACAATTTTAAATTATAAATGAGAATTGAAATTACAATTTCAAATTTCAAATGAAAATTAAAATTACAATCAAAATTAAAATGAAATTGATGTTTGAAATTAAATTTTAAAATGGAATAAAAATTGAAATCAAAATTGATATTAAAATGACAATTTAATTTGAAATAAAAATTAAAATAGAAATTGAAATTAAGGTAACGATTTAAATTTCATTTAAATAAAATGTCAAACTCGAAAAAAATCAATATAATAGAAATTCTCCATTAGTGTAAAAATTCGAATAAAGTAGAAATTAGATATAACAAAAAATCGAAAATCGATGAACAGTTAAATTTAATTTCGCGTTTGTAGGTAAATTTTCCCGCACATTAAAATACTCCTTTCTTCACTAAACCAAAATGCACTTAAATAATAATTCAACCGAATAAAAAAAATAATTTACCAAATACTAAAAACTAGAAAAAAAATAGGAAAATTCGTTTAGAAATAAAAATCTCATTACAACCAGAAATTTCGATTTTTATTTTCCGAACACAGGAGAAAAAAAAGGGGAAATTCAATCGTAACGATATTTCAAGACAAATGGTTCTCTATACATAAATCAAAGTTGCTTCCTTTATAATACAAACGAAGGTAAAAAAAGAAAAAAAAGAATAAGAAAATGACCTTGCATTATGCAACATGTTCAAAGGATCGAATCCGACAAGTTGCGACTATACGTTTCTTTTCTCAATTTTTCAGAAAACAATCTACAAGAGCAACATTGAGAAAAGGACATGCGCGCACAATATTTTCTCTATACACAATTGGTCAACACTTCTATACACCGCCGCCCTCACACACAACAAAACCGCGAGGAGGAGAAGAGAGAGAGAGAGAGAGAGAGAGGAAAAACTTTATCATCATTCCCAAACACTCTCGTACCGTTTAGCA